CTAATGAAATTACTAAGTTGAAAGACATTTTCCTCCGGGCATGCACTTTTACCCAGAAAGGAGTGAAGAAAACAGCAAGAAGTTTCCAGGGATGGAATTTGGGAAAAGAAGTGTGAAACCTTCAGGAGGCATTATAGATACACTGGCTAAGCTTTCCCAAACTGTTTTAATAAGAAATTGCAAATTGGGTTGAATGCAGAGTGAAATCAGATAGGCATGATGGCTGCTGCAGCAAGGGGGTAATGGAGGGCACCAGGTCCCAACAAAGGTGCAGATAAGGTCCTTTTGACTAATGGAGAAACATTTGATGCTCAGGTTGAAGCAGCAGTTAGGATCTAAGGACCCGAAGAAAAGAAGTTTCCAAGGATGATGCAACTAGGCTGTGGACATGCCAACACGTGGGCGGATGGGTGGCTATGGAGGCCACAGGAGTTCAACGGCTGAAAGAAATATGAAGGCTACAATGTGAGTATGGTAGCAGGGAAAGGAGAGGATGAGGTTGTGATGCAGGAATCAGCCAGTATGGAATAAGTGTTCACCATGGAATATAAGAAAGGGTAGGGGTGGAAATTACCTATTATTTCTATTGAAGTCGAGGCTGAGGAATTGTTAACCTTGCACAGTGTCCATTTTGATCAATTTACATATTTGATATGCCTTATGAAAACATAGGATTATAAATTGAAGCATGATACCACCAGTCCAAAGTGGACTGGAGACTTGTGTTCATGTCTTGGAGTCTCAATTTCAGATAGATTCCACATGTTGCAACTCCAGACTAGAGAAACCAGAATAGCAGAGAGAACTCAAACTTCTATTGTTTTGGCATGTGTGTGTGTGTGTGTGTATACATATTTGTGTGTGTATATATATATATATATATATATATATATATATATATATATATATATATAATTTAAAAGAAAAAGTTCAAATGGAATATACTTTTTCAAATTTTATTTTTCATGTAAAAGAGAAAATTGATTTCACAATTGTAATTCTGGAGGCTTAGAAATAAGATTAATGGATGGAAGCTATTGAGAAGCAAATTTTTAGTTAATGCAAGGAAAACACCAGTTAGGACTTTCTCCAAATGAAATTGCTTCCTCTTGAAGTAATGAATTCCATACCATGGATAATGTTTACACTAGACAAAGAAATTCTTCATACTATTGGGTTCATAGAAAAGCAGAGTTGGGATGGCCTAGAAGTTTGTTAGAAATTCAGATTGTCAGGACTTTTCAAATATCTGCATTTAAAAAATCTGCACCCTGACAACATCCTCAGGTGACTGCTGTATACATTAAAGCATTGAGCTGAGGTCATTCCCCACTCTGATGACAATTGGGCTCACAAACGATAACCTGTTCCTAGTCTGTGAATTTTATCACATATTTTGATTTTCAAAGCATGTTTTTCTTCCTTGGTTTGTCTCTGTTTTTTTAAAATTTCAAATGTCAAATGAAAAAGTCTATTGGAGTTTGACTCTTCATATTAGGTTTAATTTTATGAGATTATTTTCAGATTACATCATCACAAAGTTCATCTACTTAATAAGAGCTGTGAAATGCCACTTTTTGAAAATAACTTTGTGCCTCATGAGCTCTACGCCTAAAATATAGTTTTAACAATGCATTGAAAACAACAAAAACCATAACATCTGAAAGCCTCTGTTAGCACTTGCTTTGTGTCACCACCCTTATTGATTGCTCCATATGGACTCTTGGAACCTTTTAGTCACTAGGAGTTTGCTTTGATTCTTCAACAGGAAACTGTTTGTGATGAAGGAACTTAGAAGAATTGTTACTTTCTTGCTTTTTCTTTATTCTCCCCTTTTAAAAGCAAATTTGTATTCTTTTCTTTTTATTACTCAGAGTTATCCAACATTCTAGATTGTTACTTCTGAGACAACTCAAGCCTTGTTTTCCTTTAAGTGTCTGGTGAGCACAACAATGATTTGTTTTTCAGCAGAGAAGTAAATTGATAAACTGTGGTAGCAATTATTCTTATGTATTTTTTTGTTCAGAAAGCACATTCCTTGAGTTTTTTCTCCAAATGGAAAAAATTTTAATTAGCATAAATATGATACAGTGTAACAGGGAAACATCATAGAAATGAATAGGGCTTTCAACTACAAACCTCTCTCATGACCTGATATTGTTTTGTGTGTGCATAATAACTGAGCTGTATGACAAATCTCTGCTGTCAGCAATGGAACATCACGATTTACAACATCTCCCTTCCAAAGGGAGTATATCACTACTTACAAAAGTAGCTGATTTATAGCAAGTGGCAAGAAGCAAGAAATCTTGGTTTTTATGGTAAAAAAAAAATGGCAGTTACTGTAAAGTTTTTCTTCTTTGAGTTAGGGAAAGATTTGCTATTTGTGATGACTAATATGCTTGGCAACCTAACTGAAGACTTACTAAGTCAAATCATCTTTTGTCAAACGGTAATTCCATTATAGACAAAAACATATATAAAGTGTTTTTCTCCTTGCTTTGTAAATATTCTGATAACACTTTTATGTGTGAAGCCCAAATATGAGAGTGATGCCGATTTACTTTTGTGTTTGCTTAATCACCACTAATTATGTTCCCTTTATTACCACTCACCCTCTTATCTGTCCCTTCCTTCTTGCTACCCCAAATGCATCTCTAAGATTTTACTTGAATTCTGATTTTGTTTTAATAAATCAATACTCTTTGAAAATGACAAAAAAATATCATGCCAATCTCTCACGGCATGAAGGATATGTTTAGAATTTTTTTAAAAACCAAAAACCTAAATATGCTTTTAAAACTTTCTACTTTAGGCTAGGTGTAGTGGTGCACGCCTATTATCCCAGCACCTGGGGGAAGCTGAGAAAGAAGATCATGAGTTTAAAGCCAGCCTTAGCAATTTAGCAAGGCACTAAACAATTCATTGAGACCCTGTCTCTAAATAAAATACAAAATGGGGCTGGGGATGTGGCTCAGTGGTGGAATGCCCCTGAATTCAATCCCTGGTACCAAAAAAAAAAAAAAAAAAGGGAAAAGAAAAAAAGAACACCAATAACAAAGAAAACTTGCTACTTTAATTGGTATTCCTTTGGGTTCTTGTAAATTTAAGACATTTGTCTTTGTGTGTTTACACATTTCATTTTCTCTGGGTTGAAACATCTCCTTGTGATGTTTTCTTCTATAGTTTTTTTGGATTTGCAACAATTTTCTCTTCTTTTGCTAATCTACTTTTCCAGTGTTAATTTCCCTTTCCTCCACCATTTTAGGGTCCCTTGCATTCTACTTTCTCGGGGCTGCTGATGGGCATCTCACCTGCTGACTTGCTTTTCCTCATTGTTTTTCATAGTATCACTGTGGTGAGGATCCTCTCTTGTACAACACTTACCCATAGCCTATCCATCTGTCAAGACCTGTGTCCCATAAGTTACCTCCCTGACTACTTTGGTGCTATTTCCTCTGAAGTATTTTTCATCTGCTCACAGGCCTTCTCATTCTTGCTTTGACTGTGATGTCCTCAATGCATGAGGATTCATCTAATTATTTCTATACTTCCACTGCTGTGTGTTCATTTGTCCATTTATCCAGAGCTTTTATTATGAAATCACCATTCCATTCATTTTTGTATTGTATTAGTGCTGAGAACTTTTGGAAAGTCACTTTCTAGTAGTGAAGCAAGACCTTTGCTTTATAAATCTCCATAAAGAACAATGAAAGTTATGGTGGAAGATAAATGTGCAACCCAGGCTGATGCTTCTGGTGGACCAAACAAATGACCGAGAACCATACTTAACTGCCTTGATGGGACATGCCACTTCATCATTTGTAGGTTATCAAGCCACAAAAGCCCATGTGGAAGGATAGTTTAGTAGTAATTTTCTCAATTAATAGCTGTACTTTTCCTTTGCAAGGGAAAGAAATGAGAAGACAGCAACTACATCACAATACAACATAGGAAAAGTGAATCAAAGACCACAGATTATACATTTGTATAATTATTCTATTTTGAATGGGTTTCTTCAGAATTCTACAAATAAGCATGTGACCAAGATCAAAGTAAAGGGGAGTTTGATTTGGTTTTCTGATCAAAGTGATCCAGAGAAGCAGAAGAAAAGACAACAGGGATCTTTCAATCCATGATGGAACTGACCTGAGACAAGTTATGACATTAGTGCCTCCTTATGTTAGACAATGACAGTGATTGATCTAAAAATAGGTAAAATTAGAAAATGTGTGGTATGCTAATATTTTTTCTCCTTATCAATAGCTGCCATAATATTTTAACACTTGTGATTTTCTTCAAGTGGCAGGAACAAAATCATAAAAACATTTTACCATTAGAATTCCATGAATCCCATGAATCCCACACCTTCTGTTTTCTTCTAAATTTCACCCCAACTCTAAAATATATAAAGTGAGATTAGCATTTATGAAAGTTTTATAAATTTGAAAATTAATTATTTTGTAAATTTTCCTCGAATTTCCAATGCAGCCAATTTTTTCCCCCTAAATGCCTGCTCTTTCATTGTCTGTAAAATAAGGCATCCCCTTTCACCTGTATATATATATATATATATATATATATATATATATATATATATATGAGAAACATATATATATATATATTTGAGTAAGACTGTCACTAATATGGCATTATGTAAAAATGTGGATGTGTAACCGATGTGATTCTGCAATTTGTATTTGGGGTAAAAATGGGAGTTCATAACGCACTTGAATCAAATGTATGAAAGATGATATGTCATGTGCTTTGTAATGTTGTGAACAACCAATAAAAAAGACTCATATATATATATATATATATATATATATAGTATAATATATATTTTTTGTATAATATATGCATTTCATATTGGGTGTAGGAGAAGCAGTAGAAAAGCAGCCCCTATACTGGGTCCTATTCAGTGGCAGCTTCTTATTCCTTATGCTTAAGGAAGACTTTGAAGAAATAAAAGTTGTTTGGAAGAATCCAGGTGTAGTTGCTTTGCATGTTGTGATGGGTAGAAGGGATGAAGTGAAGTGTGAAGGCCACTCACACCCTCTATCTTGCCTCAGACTGTGTCCTGGAACCCTGGGGTGGAGAAAGCGCCACTTTCATTCCTGCTTCTGGGGGTTGTTGACGGTCATGTTGTGATAGAGAACCACAAGTAAGAAGACAGACACACCCACCTTGTTGGCGAAGATGGCAAGCTGCACGTCTGTGATCATCCTGACCATCTTGACTTGGCTCCGATGCTGCCTGCACACCAGCTGCAGGAGAGGTCTATATTTTAGAAGGTGACTAGAATCTCATTTGACTTGTTTCCTTTACTTCCAGTATTCCCACATTCCTCATCAAAAGCTAAAAACAGATGTGTTAAATTTTGCTTGTGAGTGCTTGGATTCCTAGTAGTGTTGCATAAAGTTCATAATATGACCATAATATTAATTTGTCACAATTTCAGCTGATATTCCTTATCTTAGCTTATGATATATATGTTCAATTCACTTACTTTATTTCTAAGCAAAGGATGTTTTCTGGTTACATATCTGCCCAAATGTGAACCCAGTACTTGACAAAAGAGCTGGATTGACTGGCATCCTCGTTACAGTAAAGCATACAGTTAGTACTGTGGGAATCCCTTTTGAGTTACTGAAATCAGAAAACTTAGAGGATTATGATAATGAAAAAATGAAACTAGGTAGAAGGTTATTAATTCATGGAGCAAAGTAAGACTCAAAGAACCTATAGTGATTGAAGAAATCTAGAAGAAAATAGGTAAGTCAATGAATGTCAACTTCAGCCAGAAATGTCATGAGTAGGACCTGAACCAAAGGTAAGGCTGACATCCAGTTGTATATTTCCTAATAAAAAAAATACTTTTCATAGTGAGATCAAAGATGCAGATAGATAGGTCTGGAAACCCACAGTTCCTGGAAAGCCATGAAAGCACAGAAACCATATTTCAACTTCACTGGTTCTAAGCTTGAATTTTTTCTTTTCAACCCAGAGAGAATGACCTTGACATACACATACCAAAATTTCAATTTACAAGGAAGGTTATACACAGACATATTATATTTTCCCATGGTAAAATGTAAATGAAATGCAAAATTAGAACCGTAAAATTTGTTGAGTACAATGGCAAAAACAAAGAAAGAAAAGCACCAGACCTCATTTCTGACAGTAGATAAGTCTATTTTGTAAACATGATAATTTTAGATTATCATGAAAGGTATAAATAAAATAAATTGGAGTCATGTGAGAGAAATTTAACCAAAAAAAGTAGGTTTTCTTTTTTATTTATTTATTGTTCTCCTCTAGAGTAAGCTGAAGAAGTGACATTTTACCTAAGACCTGAAAGATGAGGATGTTCAAACCATAACAGAATGCAAAGGAAGAATGCCCAGGCAGGAGAAATAAGAAAATCCTTACCTATACAGGTGTTGGTGTCATATTGTAACTTTCAGGATTTGGGAAAGACATTTAAGATATTGTTTTTTCTTGCTGTGGATTGACATTTCTGGCACTTCTAAGGGTAAATTTAAAAACAAATTCCATTTCTTTTCAGTTCACTACCACCATCTGCCTTTCTACTCCCCTTCTGCACACTAAACAAAACAGTATTAAAACATCGATTTGTCATTCACACAAAGGGAATTTACTGCCAAGACTGTACCTAGGATGGGTGCAGCAAGAGGCAAAAACCACTTACAGTGCTTGACAGTTTCCAAAACACAGATATCAACATTGACTTAAGATCTTTGAGCCAGCAGCAAGGAGTTCTGGTAGAGATGATTATGTGTTATCTTTGTGATTTATGTATGTGTTGACTTTAACGACGAGTGGTCTATGGCTTTCAAATCAGAGTTTCACTTTGGATCTATTTTTTAAAAATAATATAAATAGAGTTTAAAGTTGCTTGGAAATAACCTTTAGAATGCAATTTAAAAATAGTAAGTACAAAATAAATGTAAAACACTGTCAACCAATTCTTTAATAGATGGAAAAATAAATATTTAGGTGATATTGCATTTTTAAAAACAAAATGATCTGCAAGTTGAAGAGTATGAATAGCCCTGAAATGAAGAAAAATAGCTAGAAACTTTCATTCAGAGCATTACTTGTGACTCTTTATGTACTTTTAAGTAGTCTGATACTTGAAGACTTTTTTTGGAAAATAAGTGATGAAATATTTCAAAGGCTATATCAATGAATTACGAACATTCAGAAGGACAGATGAAAATCTTGGAATCTCCTACTGCTCTTTTATGACCATCTAAAGAAAAGTCATGCCAGCAGTAAGATGCTTCTTCATTAAGAGTTCAGAATACTTTTTCCCTGGAGTTTTTTCCTATTTATTTTCCTGTCTAGAAAATATGGCACTAAAATCCCTCCTCACCTTTGCATTTAAAGAAGGAATAAAGCTGCTGATCTTCTTTGCATGGTTGTGTGTTCAAACTTCAACCCAATTTAAAACCTATCACATTACCAAAAACATTTGAAACATTAGAATTTTAGGAATAGCACATATTTGCTAAAACACTGGGTATATTCTAGGGCAAGTGGTCATTGATTAGTTTTTAAAGAACATAAAATGCAAATCAACTTTTTGTAGAAACTTTTAGTGCTTGGAAAATATTCTGAAGACATTTTCCACTGAATCATTAAACAAAAGTATCTCATTGATCTCTAGATGAGTAGAATATATGACTTTAGAATTGAAACTGTCCAAATTCTAGAAAGTGTCAAACAAAGAGATTAGGACTATCTGGAAGTTAAAAATTTAGGTAGAAATATCAATATTTTAGCTAAATAAAAGCAAATTTAAAACAAATTAAAATAATACTGTATGATATTCTTTATTAAATAAACTTTCCTACTTATCAATTTGCTTTCCATATTTTATAAGAACTTATTCATATGATTAAATTCAGGTGTGTTTTAGCAGAAATGGCTCAGAATTCGGTCCACAGATGTGGTTTACAATCTCACCTTGATTACTAGCTAACTAATGCAGATTTTGAAATTTTTATGCAAACATGAGGTCTAGATGACTGCTAAGTTCCCTTGGACTTTTAAAGCCAGTGATTCTGAAACTGATGCTGATAAACAAAAATTCTGGGAATTTGGGTGGAGTGGAGTTGGATAGCATTGCATTTACATCTCTCTGCCTTGTGTCAGAGTGTTTCATTTTCATTACCATCTTTAGTGATAAAACACACAAATTAGTTTTGAACATAAATGTCATTAATAAATCATACATTTTAAACACTGGTGTAACCACTGAAAAACTAGCTAAAGGGCTTTGAAATTAGGAGAAGAAACATAGGTATGTTTTTCAACAGTGATAAAAAAATAAATAAAATCTAGTCTATCTAGAGACAAAAAAAAAAAATTCCAAAACAGATCATAGAAAAATTCTGGAAAGCACTGTTGGATGTAAAAAAAAAAAAAGAGGTAAAAAGAAAGAATAGGCAGCTTAAAAATTTTAGTTAAGTACTTCAAGAAGAAGGTACGATGTGCCTTGGGCTACAGAGAAAGCTGTTAGGACACCCGCTAATTTTTTTTTTTTTAAGAGAGAGAGAGAGAGGAGAATTTTAATATTTATTTTATTTTTTTTTTAGTTTTCGGCGGACACAACATCTTTGTTTGTATGTGGTCCTGAGGATCGAACCCGGGCCACACGCATGCCAGGTGACTGCCCTACAGCTTGAGCCACATCCCAACACCCACTAAATTTTACAACCTGTACCATCTGTGATTCAGAGGCTCCTGGAAGCAAGTTTACAATTTTTAAATAAATGATGGAGAATTCTGAGTTTTAAGGGGTTTTAGTTGCAAAATTTCACATTATCTTGTAATTTCTCACCCCTTTACATGTAGCAGCTGGTTCTTTCTTTTTTCAAAAAAAAAAAAATCAGAAATTTATTGGTTGCTCAAAACATTACATTGATCTTGACATATCATATATCATACATTTGATTCAAATGGGGTATGAATTCTTATTTTTCCACATGTACAGATTGCAGGATCGCATTGGTTATACAGCCATGTATACTAGTGTCTGTTGTATTCTGCTGCCCTTCCTATCCCCTTCCTATCCACTCTCCCCTCTCCTCCCCTCCCCTCCCTTCACCTCTTTCTACCCATCTACCCTAACTCATTTCTCTCTCTCTCTTTTTTTTTCCCTTTCCCCTCACAACCTCTTATATGTATTTTTGTATAACAATGCAGGTCTCCTTCCATCTCTGTGCAATTCCCCTTCTCTCTCCCATTCCCTCCCACCTCTCATCCCTGTTTGATGGTAATCTTCTTCTCATGCTCTTCCTCCCTGCTCTGTTTTGAGTCATGTCCCTTATATCAAAGAAGACATTCGGAATTTGTTTTTTAGGGATTGGCTGACTTCACTTAGCATAATCTGATCTAATGCTATCCATTTCCCTGCAAATGCCATGATTTTGTTATTTTTTTAGTGCTAATATTCCATTGTGTATATATGCCACATTATTTTTATACATTCATCTATGGAAGGGCATCTAGGTTGGTTCCACAGTCTAGCTATTGTGAATTGTGCAGCTGGTTATTTCTGAGAGGTTGAAGAGAGAGGATATGCCCAACCTTGCTTGAATGTGCAACCTACATGCCCTCTTTAGATTCTGCAGAAATACACAGGAGGATTTTCACTGTTGTTATTGCGATCTAGCCAGGAAATGGTGGAGACAGGATTTGGACTTTGACTCATTCCAGACCCCTTACTTTTAAGTACTTTGTGATTCCTAGTTTGTTGTGTTTGTATTTTGTGGTTGCCATATATTAGTAAATAGAACCAGAGGTTGTCAACTTTGATCAAATTATGCAAAGCAGAGCTTCATTAGAGTGTCTCTTGGATGAACTGTTCAAAGAAACCATGTTTCCTCTGGGTTTCATATTTAAGTTCCAGAACCTGTTGAGGAGATTTTTTTTTTCCCCTAATGAATGGTCAGAAAAACTTCTCTCTGTAGTGATAGTCTTCATTTTTTACCACAATGAGTAAATTTAGTTCTGTTAACATCCATAGTTAACACTTGGATACAAAGTAGTATATCACCCAACATCTTAATAATCCTAGAAGTTCTGACATCAATGAATTAGGGGTTCTTTTAAAATGAATTGAACTTCTTCAACATCATTCAGTAGTATCTTTATATCTCTCACATTGACCAATTAAGCCCAAATTCTTTGATTG